TCTCTCTCTCTCTCTCTCTCTCTCTCTCTTTCTCTCTCTCTGATCGCACTTACTCCTAATGCATCGTATTTCCGCATACATCACAACTGTGCTTATAACGCGATTTATAGCGCCGCGAGCACAATAATTTGTTTAGCTGCGATGCACATGGATATCTCCGAGCAGAGGTGAAATGTCATCGGAGAACGGTGATATAATTAAATTCACATGTTAGGGTGAAAGAAAAAGCTACACGTCGAACTATTGATATAAGTGTTGTCCAAGTTCAAAAGCATCGCACTTCTTGACCAGAAGAAATGGCATTGGTAAGTCGCTAATTATTATTTTTAAATAAGTTTGCCAAATAATTTTAACTGCGAGAAATTGCACGACACTAAATTACTGTTGACAGTCATTGCTTCGCACGCGAGATAAAAGATATCAATATTTAAATAAAGTGGTGATTCTCTCTCCCAACATGTATATCGACTTACTAGACTCAGTTCTCAATACTAAGCTAAGAATGCTGTTTGGACTTTGATGTAAACAAACATCGAGTAATCGAACTTTATTTCGGGAACATGCGTACAGTATGTCTTCCATTCAATACTTTACACACATAGTGTGAGAACAGGAAATTAATTTTCGATTGTAATCTGTAACATACTCAATGATATATAAAATTATAATTATACGAAATGTAATTTTCTCTCTATCTAACACTATATATTTTTTATTTTTATGTTATATTGTTTATAGTTTATACCATATTGTTATAATGTTTACACAACTAGTAGTTGTTTTAAGATATGCGTTAAGATTCCTTTTTTTGTAGAGTACATGAAACTTACAGTATATAACGAAACGATATTAATAACAGAATTATCTGAAATTTACAGTTGGACTCTAACAACGAGTCAAAAAATGGCAAGGATCCACCACCTCAGCAAAATCATGAAGAATCTACTCAAGTCTCCATATCCATATTAACGGATCTACATATTCAAAGCACCGAAGTAAGTGTTAGTGTTTTTATTAATGTGTATTAATTTGTTGTAAATTCTCGCATGACTCTTTATTTGTGTATTTTACTGTTCAATCCACATATTGTGACGCACAGAGTATTACAAATGTGCAAAGTTATAGGCTGAAGTAAATGTTAAAATGATATGTCTGTTGTGCAGGTTGGTGAGATCGCCGAGATGCCGGATTACGAGAATTTGAGTACATCGGCGGTTCTTCATTATTGCAAACACAAAATACTGATGCCGTATCTGAGACTGCTAGCAGTAATGGGACTGAAACCAACCAGCAGCGATGACTCTCGGTATTGCATCTTAGCGAATCTTCATACCTTCCAAGTTACTGTATTTATGTGCATTGGATACATTTTACAATACATGGCCTGTTTCAGGTAAAACGATTAGTATTTTTCTACTTCTTCGCAATATTAAATCGTGAAATTTCCATGTCCATATTAAATATAATTAATATGAGTTCGATTTACAATCACTATGATAAAGATGTACTTATTTTCAGGAGAGACCGAGGATTTTGTTACAAAGTATTACCGTTGGAAAATGGACAAACTATATCGGACGTCGGCGGAGAGCGGTCGCAACCGCTGTGCTATGGAAACATGATATTCAGCTACTTAATTCCAAGCGCGTTGCATTTAGTCGCATACATATACACAGTGTATCTATTTCGCATCAAGGAGAACGAGCAGCTGCAGAATCTGATGGAAAGGGCCTTCTTGCTTTCGTCGAATCCCGTGAATCGCGGCAATCAGAAGCGTCTTGTTCATATACTGTGGTTATTCATAGCATTGAGCGTGGTCTGGATGATCATGGCGTTAGTTACAGTGAATATCCTAATGGCGAAGGGAAATATTACATTCCGCTGGTTGGAGCACAGGTAATTCTTGATCTGTTCTTTTTAGCTGCACTGCTAAACTAGTGCAATAAATTAGAGTGAAACAAATATACTTTCTCTCACTTTAACTTATTGCAGTAGTTCAGAAATGCAGTTAAAAAAAACAGAGCATCTATCATTTATTCCTATCGCCAGAAAATGATCAAGCTAGAATAACTTTTGTGTATCCTTTGATCCAAAACACAGATACAAGTTAACCACTTTGAAACTTGCTCATGTAGACGTGAATCCTTACACACTTACATTCTGGCTTACATGTGCTAGCTTCATTTGATCTTTTCTTTTTGAGTAACGATTTTATATCGAATTTTCTATATCTAATTTATACCTATTTCTTATTTTTTCCATATTTATATTTTACACGTCAATTTTCTATATCTCATACCATTTTTGCAGTCCGCATCAAGTAAAGATAACGATGAAAGTATTTCTAATCGTGTGTACCTTGTGGCATGACATGGTTCAAGGAACTATCATAACGAGTTACTGCCTACAAGGACAGCTATTGATGTCACATCTCTACTTCTTACGCGGCAAATTGCTTCAGCATACTCTACCGCCCATCGATTGGATGAGGGTTCGCAATCAACACACTCTAACAACATTCTATCCGTTGTATCTTCCGTTAATGAGCAGAAATCAATGCTTGTGATTTGCAGGAAATTTGCGAGTTTAAGAAGCTACTGAAATATTTTAACGACGAATTAGGCCCGGCTGTATGTATCTACACTATAGTCAATATGTCGTGGGCGGCTGCAGGTATCATCTGGCTATTTCAATACGATGCCGAAGAGATGAACAAGAGTTCAATCACATTTGTCAATGTGATGAATGTTATGTTATGGGTATTGATATCAATCGCACCGTTCGTACAGGTATTCTTAGTAAATAAAAAATGCAAAAAAACACAATATAACACAATGTTAAAAACTATATATTAGAAAATATTACATACTATTGGATATTGTTGCAATAACGTTCTGTCAATGATTTTTTTACTCGCTGAATCATTCCTGTGTTATTATATCGTGATATTTCCTTTGGCTCACTGGCGAATTCACTTTTACGTATTTTCTTCAGGCCGCGCGTTTAACCACCGCCTGTTCCATGATGCAGACCATAGGACACGAAGTACGTGTTCGACCGTTTGTATATCAGGGTACTCCAGGACAAGATCTTGATACTATACTTCTGTACACGTCCTCTTTGAGAATGTACGCTAGATTGTTCAGAGTACCTATCACAGGTAGATATTTGTGTCTACTGCTAACTATCGGCAGTATTTCTATTCTTACCTTAGGACAATGTCGGTTCTTTCAATAACTGTGTGAAACCTACTGAAGAAAAGTTTATTTCAAGGAACTTATTTTTTCGAATCATCTTGAATCTGAATTTCTAAAAAATGAAAATTTGTATATACTTATTATGAGCTTCCGCACACAATTCTAAACACGATATACAATTTTCATTTTTGTAGAAATACGAAAGATTCAAAATAATACAATCGTGATATATTGCACAATGTATGCCCTGTGTGTTTTAAGTATACAACGTATACTATTATTTATGTAAAATGTATTATCTATATCCACCTAATAAATTATTTCACTTTAAAGATACTTTTGTAAGCCGTATTCATATGTAATATACAATAGTTATAATTACTATTAATATCATTTTTAATATATTCGCATTAGAAAATGGCTATTATATGATAATTTGAACAATGTAATTATATTATCATAAAAACATTGTTATTATACTTATATATATTAATAATTTTATATATATATATGTGTATGTATAAAATTATAGCATCATGTTAATACATGTGTTTATGTATATATAATAATTATAATTAATTAAAAAAATTGTATTCTTAGAAGAACGTACATTTTGTACGTTTTCTATAAGATTATGTAATGTCTAAAATAAAAATATCAATCGAGAATAATAAATGAAATACTGGAAAAAGTATTTTATTTACTTCTCGTTATCATATCCAGTACATTATATATGCCCCAAATACGGCAGTAATAGTTGCAGCTTAAAACGAATTATAATCCGCGTAAATCTACAATGAATATAGATTTCCTTTTCAGAAAATTTATATTCTTTGTATTTAGGAGACTATAAGAGAAACGCGTGAGAATTATATCGTTAATATACATAGTACTAATTACATTATTGATGTAATAGAAATACACATGCAGAAGAAATATATGTATATTCGAGTATATGAAATAAGTTTAACAATTGAACAAACTTGTGATTGTTAATTGTTAATATGATTCTTTCTTGATAAAATTTATTTACAGGATAACTCTTCAGTGACGCATAAATTGAAAAAATAAGTCTATTAAACCACGATAAATCCATTAAATGGAAACGGGATTACCACTTTATCAAACTAATATATTTTACATAGTTGTCTTATATAATCATCATACATACAGTTTCGAAATCTCTGTAGAAGTTGTTGGAGGCGACATGTATGCTTTAAAATATTAAATCTTGATATTAAAAATTTTAGATGAGAGTCGCAGAAATTGAATAATATAACAATTAACGGATACACGCATTATTAATATTGTGAGTAAAATATTAATTTGAGGTACACATATTATTATATTTTTTTCTTTTTTCGTAAATGAATAATCACGAAACAAAAGTCCCTTTTTTGTATTATGGATTTTATCTTATCGAATAAAGCATAGATCATGATATCGGTGAATTCGAAAGATCGAGAAGTAATACTTAATAAATATTACCATGTTTTAATAAGAGTTCTCGTTATTCTAATATACATCGATAATTTCAGCATTTTTACAAAGTTTACTTAATTTTGACTAAATAGCATGATATCGACACTTTATGATACTGCTTTTAGAATACTAAACGTTGTGTAGTAGCACCTGGCATAATGTATGTTTTATCTTGCCGATGATTCTACTTAATGATATTCGTGATTAATTTATTCATTGACAATATTACACATATAGAAAATTTTGTAAAAAATATCGTCGATATTACATAAGACTTTTAGCGGCACAAATGAAATACAAAATTAAAAACGTATTATCAAAATTTAATCAAAATTTGTGAGTACCGAGACAATTTATATTACCGACGTTAACTAAACGACATGGAATGTGAAAGTCGTATATGGCTGCTCTTTTATCGGTTTATTTAAATAATATGTTTAACATATTCGCAATGACATAAAGTGTGCATTCTACAATCACTGGAAGTTGATGGTAATCGTCCTCTTAAGCATTATACTCAATTTGAAAAACGTTACATGATTTTAGCTTGCTTACATCATTGAATTCGTTATCTCGAAATTATTCTTACAAAAATTGCACAAGTAAATTTTATATATCAAAATAGTTTTATTTTTAACCACACGAGTTTCTGCGACAAACCCCGGATCAACTGTAAGTAGTGATGAGAGTAACCAAGAACGTTTGAACGCGATACTCAATCGAGTCATAAAAGAGATACCGTAAATCATATTAAAAGATAAGCTACTTATATTATTATTGTTTAATAAAAAAAAGGGAAGAATAGTACGAATGTAACGTATGATCAAGTGAAATGTCGCGAGGGTACGATCCGTGAACGGAAATTTCATTATCAACAAAGAATTATGATAAAAAAAAAATGATGAATTGTTCTTAGTTCAATGGACTATTCTCATAAGATGTTTCAGCTGCCTCTTGCTTCTGTCGATGACGCATCCTCACCTCGTTGAATTTTTAACCATTCAACAAATTCGTCGAGCATTACTGGCCCTGAAAGCATCCACGTCATCCACATGTATGTAAGGCAATCTATTACACTCACCGCTCAATAGTACAGATACTCTTCTCGCTGTACTTACATGCTCCATCTAAATCATAATTGGATAAATCATGATTTATTGTACGTGAGAATTCTAATATGTTGCACCATTGATCCTTATTGATCACTTTGTACTTGGATTGATCTAGGAACTGAGCAAATTGCGTAAACAGTGGCCAATGTTTACCCAAAAGCAACTGTAGCATTACTCTTGCGGTTTCCATGTCCATACTTCGTTGATCTTTATCCTACAGGAATTTCGGTAAAACAATCAGAAGCTATCCTCATCGAAAATTATCCGGTATTTATTATGTGCGTATGTCGGTGTTCGCGAAAGCATACGTACTCTAGCGAAGTCGTAAGCATATCTGTAAATCCCCTTAAACGTGTGTGGGTCGTTTAATTGATTCCTTAGGTACTCGAGCTTTTGTTGTACTTTACTAATAGAGTCGCACTGAAGTTCCGAAAAACCTTTCAGCCACTCGCTCAGTGTAAAGAAGCCCATTTGACGTGCATTCATTTTATATGCAAGAACGAGCATTACTACGTTTTCGGGTTCTACCCCGATATCTTCGCAAAATTTCTCCATTCCTTCAGGCCCTAGAGTATCCGGTTCGTCTGGTGTGGTATATTCCCTGAACCAAGTAATACAACGCTTCTGTGAAAAAGTTGACGCACTGGATACATCCTCGTTTTTCATATAGCGCCGGGCACTGCAAACATTATTATTTATATATCATATAAGTATATCATAAGAATATTACAGTATATATCAGAAGTTATAAAAATGATATATATGCAAGCTTCTTTTAAACAATTTTAACATATGACACATGTATCAATAACTTATAATACAGCTAAATCAAAATGTTGTGATTATTGGCTAATAAACAACATTTGATAAATAATAATACAAATACTTTTATAGACTATCATAATAAAAGACACTGTTTCAAACTTACCTGGGAGTGTGTTGTCTTAATCGTTTTGAAGGATGTCTAGGTAAACCTTCCTCATGGGCACTAGGTGACATTTCAACAGAAGTGTGATTGTGATTTGTATTAGAAAGTACTCTACGCTTGCCTCGTGGCATCCCTTCCTTCACTAAAATAAAGATTTGTATGTTATTTAAACATAGTATCTTAGATATAAATATCTTAGATATGTTATATGAGACATATGTTATCTTAAATATAGATATGCAATTATCTTCTAATATAGTTAAGATATAGTAATTTTTAGAATTCCAACTGATTCATTTATGTAACTTACAGTAACTTATAGTTGAACAAATGTATTCATAAAGAAAAAAATACAAATAATACATGAAGTGAATATTTTACATTAACAGATAAATATGTATAGTGAGTTGTAAAATGATTTAGATACAATAGTTTCAGAACTCACCAAACTGTCGAAATTGAGTCATTGATGGAATTACACAATAATATAATTAAGAATACAATAATAATAATATTTAATAATATAATCATTAGGCAAGCCTATCAGTAATAACTTCTAATTTTAGCAGTTCAGTGAGCTCCTAATTTTATTGTATCTAAATTATTTTGCAACCCACTGTACCTATATATATATATATATATACATATATATATATATACATATATATATATATATATATATATATATATATATATATATATATATATATATATGTTTAAGAATTGATATAAAAATGTCCTTATAAACTTATTTATCTATGTATCCTGTTTCAATGAGATAAAATTGTTACTTTATATCATTTTGATCCATTTAATTGTTACAGAATAGCAGAAATGTTTTGTGGAAGGTGTAATCTTATACAAATAAAATTAAAAAACTATGAATAACTTACAACACTCATAAAGTAAGAAATAGCATTTAAAACACATTTAAAAATAATATTTAAAAAACTGATTAAAAATAGCTTAGAAATAAACACAAGTCACAATGCATTCATGTACGGCATGTAAAGCTAAAGAAACACTTTCGAGCATCTATCTTAAAAAGAAAACAGATAAAATAACATTATGAGTATCACAGTTATGTCGTAAATCCAACCATACGTATTGTTGCACATGTTTATAAATAATACATGTTACTCCCACAAGACAATGTCTACATTATCGTTAAATTCTCGTAACAAAAAAACTGCATTTTTTTTCAAAAAAAACGAAATCACGGAATAACATAGGAAAACGTGAAATAATAAGAATGCACACGTAAAATTAACACGATGTTTGCATTATTGATAGAGGACGGATACAGTACAATGTACAAGATCAGGATGACGGGAGAGGATCTCGCGAACGATAAGTGATCAGGCTCTCTTACCACGCAACGGAGACGTACGTTATCGAGTTATCGAGTTAAGCAGTATTTAGAGGTGAGCAGCAGCCGCGAGAGCAATGCAACTGGATTTTTTCGTCGATGTTAAACTGACATCTCTCCGTGCCCGATACAGAAGGAAGAGTGAGATTGAGAGAGAGAGAGAGAGAGATAAAGTGACAGAGCGTGAGTGAGTGAGTGAATGAGTGAGGAAGAGAGGAAGAGAGAAAGAGAGAGAAAGACAGAGAGAGAGAGCGAGCGATATCGCAAAGTGAGGTTAGGAACGTCAATTAAATTCGAGTATCACGCAACAATCGTCGGGTTTTCGATCGCACTGCTGGCTCTGCAAGAGTGACTCGTAAGCACATGTGATCTCTCGGGCTACCTGAAGGGCTACCGCGAGCGGCGATCTGAGGTCGTGACGATGATTCAACACGCCTAAACAATCCGACGATTACTATTCGGCAGTCACGTTATCGCCGAGTGGATACGCGCTCGCTCTCGCACCGTGCACTAGTGAAATCGCGAGAGAAGTAGCGTATACATATAACAGCGCGCAGCAAGGAAGAAAAAGAGAGGGAGGTACAAAAAGAGAAAGACAGGGAGAAAGAGAAAGAGAGAGAGAGAAAGAAAAAGAGAGGACGTACCGTGTGCGCGGAGAGTAGACGCGAATGCGAACGGGCACGAAAACGGGAATGGTCTCACGTCTGTCGTGAACGGATCGCGAGAATCGCGGCGTGAGTCATGTCGTAATATTAGATGCGCTTTTATCGTGGTGGAGCGCGGCGCCTCAGCGGCGAACGTTCGCGAATAATGAACCGCAATGGTGCGAATCGCGTGGGAGTCGGGCAAGGGACAGCGTGCACGATGACACCGTTCTGCCTACCTTGTTTTCCTTGCTCGAGAAACCCGCTGGAGCGATGTGCATGTGTCGCTTGTCCCTGCCGTTGTCAGTAAGATGCGTGTTGAAATTCAATTCGTATTGGCGGGCACGCCGACCGTATCGATCATGGCGCCATCGGCAGTCGATAATCGATCGACCAATCGAATCTCTTTTAGCAGGGATCTGTTTTCTATTGCTGAACTAGTGTATATTTTCGGAATTTAAAAAGAGACAGATATACAGATAAAACTTGGTGGAAGAAAGATAAGAGAGAACTAGTGCAACCAATAGTGAACCAGTTCAGCAATAGAAAACAGACTCCAGAACTCTCAACATTTGCGACATATCGAGCACTGAACAACACGCTATTCATCTCAAGCCATTTTTTTTTTTGGAAAAAGAATATTTACGACATAGACGAAGACCGTTGATTAGGTTAGATGTGTCTATATAGTTTTATAAAAATATTGAAGATATTCATTGCATATACATTATTGTCTGTATACGATCCAACTTCAAGATAGTTGAAAATTATACAGTTGATACTTCATCGTATACTGAATGTCCGCTTATATCAGCTAAATATGGTCGAAGTCATCTTTCAATTACGTCCGGGTTCCTCAAGACCCCTTTGCCAATATGAAAATTTATCCACGTCTCTGACAGTCTTGAATAATACCTCGGTGTTTGCAAATATCTCTTCACTAGGGCTAAGTTTGTCTTGCACGCTTCCGTGCTGAAAGCATTATTTTCTTTATCATTTATTACATATCAAAGGAAGATACAATACTTTCAGCACAAAAGCGTGCAAGACGAACTTGGCCTAACTTGTCTCATTGCGAAGGCTAGTGACGTGACATCCCACCGCTCAATCATGGCGGCAAATTTAAGCGCGCTTGGATCTTTGCAATTCTCCGGTTTTTTCTGTGAAATCAGATTCCTCTAACATAAAACGTTACAATCATCGTAAATGTATTCCATGGAAATATGATTTTCAATCAAGTCAATATCAATATTTGATCATAAAATAATCGAGTACCAGACAGACAAATTAAACGTATGCTTTCAAGATTTCACAAACTGAGCTTACGAGCTAACTCGTACGATGCGATGAAATGAATAGTCCACTTTCCATCTTTTCAACAGTTTTAGTTAAAAAAATAATGTGGCGGTAACAATGGCGATAAAATATAAATTGTGATATTTGAATTATTTCTTATAATACAGTAACGGTCACGTAATTTTTATAACGTCATCAACGCAATAGGATCATCCTCGTCGATCTGGTAATTCAGAATATCCATCCTGAGCTGTCGATGCTTTTGCTCGTGCACTTTTAGCGAACTGGGCTGTATGAAGGCTTTTTGGCAAACGACGCAAACGTACGGCCTCTCGCCCGAATGTGTGCGCTCGTGACGAATAATATGGCTCTGATGATGGAACCTCTTGCCGCAAACTCGACACGCGTACGGACGTTCGTTAGTGTGCGTTCTGCTGTGGGTTTTCAGGTCAAAGCTCTTGAAGAAGGACTTGCCGCAATAATCGCAAACATGATTACGTTGCTTCAGGTGATCCCTCTTCACGTGCTCCTACGTATAAAATAAGCGTATTAGCCTTTGAATCAGCCTAGGCTGATCAATCATTGAAAGATTTTTAAGAACCCAAGTGAGATAAATACTCACGTTTACTTGCGATAAGGTACTGTAGACCCTCGGGCAAATGTTGCAAACGAATTTCGGCGGCCAGTTTGAGTTGTGGGTACTCGCGATATGTTTGTTCAAAGTAGACTTCCAAGCGAAGGACACTCCACACTCTTTGCAGTGGAACTTCTGTTGATCCGTGAAGTGTATGCCAATGTGCTGTTTGTAATTGTAAGCCGTCGAGAACGCTTTCTTACACACGGAGCATTGATACTTCTTCGGAGAGTTTTTCGATTTCTCCAGTTTCTCTGATTTTTTCGGCTCCTTTGGCTCCTTCGGCTCCTTTGACGTTTCGACGCGATTCTCGTCGTTCGCATTTTTATTATTACTCATACTCATACCATCATCATTGATCATCAGATCCGTATACAAAGGATCACCGCTGTCTACGGTGTCTCGATCGCTATTCATGTTTTCCTCTAACGGCGCGTTATTCTCGACGTACGTGAAGAAGTCAGGCTTACCCTCGGTGCAATCGACGATCTTGTTGCTATCCTGCAAAACGTTCGAGCAATCCTCGTCGAGTTTGCCCGCAGAAACGAAATCCGACTCTTGTTCGGTAATTTGACAATCCTGCAGCAGTTCCAATAGCTGATCGCCGTCATTTTGAATCAAGCATACCATCGGCGACTCTTTACTTTCCGACGAGGACTCTACACCGATATCGGCGACCTCCACAAACTCGAGAAACCTCTCACTACAGTTCTCGTAGTTCAGTCGTTCGAACACCTCGAAATTCGTCTCCACGTACTTGTCGAAATCCACATGCGATTCATTCTCCAGCAATTCCAGGTTACCGGAGCTGTAGGCTTGCAAATTCTTCTCCTGCAGTGCGGTCGTGTTCGCTCGCGAGTCCTGTTGAAAAGGCCCGGACTCGTTGCACAGAACGGTGAAGCCCTTCTCGTCTCTGTGAAAATCGAACTGCGTGTAATTGAATTCATTATTTATGTCGGTGAGATCCTCCAGAGTCTGTTGGTGCTCCGTCCGATCGCTCTTCCCGTTATTTTCATGCGAATCTCGCGGATCTGTACTTTGACAATGTCCAAAGGCGCTCGACGGCTCCTGTGCTTTATCGCCCGTGTTCTCCACGCTCGTGGTATCCTGCATCTTCTCCACCAAATTGCTTATGAACTCGTAAAACTGCTCACCCGCCTCTGTTTGCACCATACGCAACATCGGGTCCTCATTGTTTAACACTATGCTACTCGGATTATTTAAACCCTCCGGATTCTCCCCGTTGCGCGCCAAATTATTCTGATTCTGCGCCGCAACAGAGGTGTACGTTAAGCCATCAACCGCGATATCCGCAGAATGTTCAGACTTCACCGCGTCCAGATCTGTATTACTGCAGTAACGGGACTCGTCGAATTTCAACAATCCCAATTCGGAGAGCTCTATGTACAACTGATTGTCATCGTTCAACGACGGTTTGTCGCATTTTCTGTCGTCACTGATAGTCTCTTTGCACATTTGCTTATGCAGAAACTTTTGATCTACCGGGTCGGAATCACACGTTTGCAGGTTTGTTCTTATGTCCAACGATTTCTCGACATCGTTCGCAAGATTCTCTTTGAAATCTTGTATCACACGTCCGTCTGCGTCGCCAGGTCCTCTGTCTCGCGGTAGAAAGGTGAAACTGTTTCTGTCGAGCTGATGCAGATAAATTATGTTGTCTTTGGATGGTGTCTGCTCGTGATTACCGGCTGCGTTCTGAGGAGGATTCGAAGCAACAGTCTTACTTGTCGACAAATCGATAGACTGCAATTTTTCTTCGATCCCAGCGAGGTAATCTTGCGACAACCGATTTTCGATCTCTGCTAAATTATCTTCTTCGAACTGCTCACATGTTTTAACATTATTAGGTTATAGAATTATGTGTTCTTATCATATAACGGCTGAATGTGGAATATTTACCTGTTTAGATGTGACGTAAATGACAGTCTCCAAAGGTAAATATGCTGCTACAGCTGTACTGTTCACCTCGGTACTATGTTGATTGGATATTTTATTCTTCTGCGTATCTGTCTCCCTATCAGTATCCTGGCATTTCAATTCTGGGCATATTTTCTCGTGATACCTATCTTTAACGTTATTGTCTGTCGTCTGAAAAGACCCGAAATAATGAGACGTGAGCCTTAGACATACCTCTGTCGAGAAGTTACAGATTTAACCATCACCTTCTTACAACTATTGCATTCCGACAACACAGTGCTCTCGGAATGACACTTTCTGTGTTGTCGCGTGGGGGCAATTGAAACAATCCCCGCAAAAGATTCGTAACAACATAGCCGTTTAGTGATCGATTGTTGCTTTGTCGCGATACTTTTGACAAACTAAAAATTTGCATTGTAATACGAATAATGATGCAGACACAAATGGAACTGACAATGATAATAGCTCGCTACCTCATTCTCCTTAGATGCATGCTTAGTGACTTGAGATTTATTGCTGATAAGACTAGAACTGCAATACTGGCGCATGCTTTCCTTTGGTATCCCGTGTATTATTTGTTTATGTCTTACTAGCGAAGAAACTTGTGTAAACCGTCTATCACAAATTGAGCATAGATAAGGCTTGACTCCTGCAAATAACGCAAATAAAAGTGCTGATAAGTACTTGGTTATCATGTTCGATACTATTTGCGTTCTGTTTACAGATGACTTGATCCAAATATCTGTATTCTGATGCAATACCATCTGGCTTCATTATTATTGGATACATCACCTGCATGCACTCTGCAGTGCCTTATAAGATTTGATATGTGATTGAATCTCCTTCCACAGAATTCACAAATGCAGAAATTTGTACCCAGATGGATATTCAAATGTGTGCGCAGATCTGCTTTGCGAAAGAAACCCTTCCCACATATCTGACATATTTGAGATCGCTCTCCTAGATGAATACTTCGATGGTGATAGCCTAATTGTGAAGCACGATCGAAAGTCAATCCACATTCGGAGCACTTGAAAATCTTCACCAAGTTGGAACGAACAGTCTTCTGTAGTTTCACTTCTGATTATAAACAATGTTCTACATTATTTTCTTGTACGATATACTTTAGTTTCTTAACGATACACTATAAGATAATATGAAAATATAGTGTTACCTGCATTCGTCTCTTTTACATTTGTATCACTTAGCGTATTCATTTCGTTGAATTGAATCTCGATTTGTTTATCTTCTCAGTACGAGACGCTCGATCTCAATTGAAACTGTTCATAAGTATTCAGATACACAAAGTATATTTTTTCTGCAATAATAATTAATCAGAGTGTTACTACATTAATGAGATGTAATTAGTTATAAATCGGTCACGGCTACATCACATGCTATGATAAATATAATGCTTTACACAGCCTTCTATTCCTAACCTCCAACTGTCAACCTAGGCATCTGTTCTTTATATATACACTCTCTGTACCACTCTGTACTTTCTTGTTCTTTCCTCGTTCGCTCTTCCAATGAGGTATTAATAGCTGTGTTCAGCAGAGAAAGCTGTTTTGCAACTGTGTAAAATTCGTGAATCTGATTGGCTGCGTTCAGAAATCCTACTCGGTGAGTAAAGTAACATTTAATTAGCCAATCAGGGCAAAAGGAATTAAGATTTATTTATCCTGATTGGTTTATTAAAGTAACTCTACCCATCGAATAGGATTTCTGAACATAGCTATTGGAGTATGTTCTTAATTTTGGTTGAATCCAAGAGCATGTACCAATCAGATTCATGAATTTTACAATAGTTACAAAGTAGCTTTCTCTGCTGAACGCAGCCATTATTGGTCTGTTCTTTTCAGCTGCACTGCTGAACTGGTGCAATAAGTTAAAGTGAGACAAGTATATGTTTTCTCACTCTAATTTATTGCACCAGTTCATCAGTGCAGCTGAAAAAGAACAGACCACATATATTAAAGACTGACAGCTCAGGGTAAATTTTCGAACAAAGAGAGCCGAGGGGCCCGGAGATAATTGAAAAAGGACAATTATCAACTATTTGTAGTTATTCGATATAGACACTCAGTGTATAATAAAACATTAATTTTTATAATTTTATAATTTTTATAATTTTTATAATTTATGACTATCTTGGTGTTTTCTATATAAATTATCGTTATCTATATAAATTGTTATCTATATTTATCGTTATCTATACAAATCGTTATCTATCTAAAAAAGTAGAGACAATGGACATGTTCAATGGAAAAAGCGCTCAGTGAGCAATCAACGATTATTCATTCTTATTGTTAGATGTTATTGTTGATTTATCCCTAAATCTAGACCAATTACATTGACAGTTGTACAACTGTTGAGCAATTGGTCAATAGATGCGTTGTCCATTGTCCATTGTCTCTAGTAGTATATAGAAGCTGTGAGTATAACTCAACAATAAGTCAGCCATATTTTATTTGTAAGTAATATAACTCAACAACAAAGTAGTTAACTTGTTATTTTCAGGTTATCTAAAGCCAGTTGCACACGATGTTGGATTGCTGCTGGATGGAAATACTCTATTCTGATTGGTCCGTCTTCAGAAATGCACCAATCATAACAGAATATTTCCATCCAGCAAGCAATCCAGATGAAAACAAGCATCGTGTGCCACTGGCTTAATATAGCAAGTACGGCAATTATTTAAACACTGTTAATAGTTTCGATATTGTAAATGATATCGAGCTATAATTAATTGATAGTTATAATTAATTGTTTCCGACATATGAGTCAGTCTTACTGATTGTGATCAAGATGCATGTAAAGAAATATATTCATCCAAGGAACAAATATAAAAAATCGCCTGATTACAAGAAACTTGCGATCATGTACCCGGAGTTTCGTGAAGTTGCAATCACGGTATTACATCTTTTGTAATTTATATATGAAAAATGAAATATATAGCTAGAAATAGCTAGAAGGCATAAAAGAAATAGAAACATGGGAACATGTTATATCTCGATACGATGATAAGAATTGTATAAAACTTTATATTACTTGATTATAAATTGTTACTTTGTAGGATCTCACAGGAAAAGTCAAGATTGATTTCAAAAAAAAGGAGAGTGTTCGTGTGCTCACAGAGACACTTTTAAAACATGACTTTGATCTGCATGTAAGCATACCACCTGACAAATTAAACCCAGCACTTACACTTCGCATGAATTATGTTCTGTGGATTGAGGACTTGATGAAACATTCTAAACTTACGATGGATAAGACCACAGGAATAGACATTGGTATATGGAAACTCTTCTAAATTAAAGAGGAAGATAAGGATAAATAATAATTTAAGGCAGTCCTTTTCAAGATCGAATAATGATGATCTATTATACTACTTTATTTCTAGCATTATAATGTGTGACTAATTAAATAAATATGTTTAAAATAGGCACTGGAGCAATTAGTATATATGCTCTGTTACTAGCCAAAATTTATAAATGTCACATGATTGGCACAGAAGTAGACAAGGAGAGTATAAATCATGCAGAAAATTGCATAAGGAAAAACAATCTGCAAGACTTGATCAAAGGTGAACTTTATTCTCCTCCAATACTGAGATCCAGACTTTTTCCTCCTCCAATACTGAGTAAAATTAATTTTACATAATATGAAATTTTCCAATATAGTGGTCACAGTGAACTCTGATAGCATTTTTAAGAACGCAGTGGAAAAAGATAAAGTTTACGACTTTTCCATGTGTAATCCACCCTTCTTTGAGAATGAAGGAGATGGTGAAAGAGTTGCAAAAGCTTTACCACCCAGAAATGCGCCAACTGGAAATGAAGGCGAGTTGAAGACTAAGGGTGGCGAATTAGCATTTGTGACGAGGATGATTGAGGAGAGTATTGAGCTGGGAGATCGAATAAAAGTCTATAGCACAATGATAGGGAAGAAAGTAGACTTTTTTTGTCTTAAGAAGGTGATAAGATCTAACAATATAAAGAATGTGACATGGACGGTATTCTGCCAGGGTCATACAACACGGTATCTTGTTAATTATTTGTTAAATTATCAAATGGATAAATCCTTGATTGAAATGATTAAAACTATTTATAGATGGGGTTTGGCTTGGAGTTTCCTACCTAAAAATGTCTTGGACTTAAACACCGCACCTGTTATTAGAAAGGCTGAGAAATCCGTAATGCCATTGTTCGAGAACAAGACCTCGATAACGTTTCCTATGAATGATAAATTTTCCTGCATGGATGATGTGATTAGTTTCCTAAATTCAACAGCAAAAGAGTTAAATGTAATGTATATATTATATGGACGATGTGTGTTTGGAGTCTAGTTGCTTTAGTCAATCTTAAATCTATTACAACAGATTGAATTGCAAGAAGTACCGATCTCCGAGGACAATTTCGACGGATGGGTGTGTCAACTGACCGCTAAAGAAAAGACATGGGAGCACGCGCGCAGAAAACGACGATTGACACAACAGCTTGCGTTAAAAAAGCTGAAAGAGTCAGACGGTGAATGTGTTAAAACAAGCGTTAACACGAAAGAAACTTCTGACACAATAATTACTGCAGAAGAGAACATCAATATCAAGCAAGCTAATGAGAAGCTCTCAGAGGAAACGTTATCAGCGAGGAAAGAAAAATATGGCGAAAGTTCGAGCGAATGTGTTCCTTTGCTAACTTGCGAGCTTTGGGTAGAAATAGAAAGCTCGGAAATTGAAGAGACAGTTCCAGAAGATGACTTATTCAGGATATGGATGATTTTTGAGAACGGAAGTGGTGGTTTGGAAGCGTTACAGTCGTTGCGGCAATATCTGATGAACAGATTAGGAGTGAAGAGAACGAGTCTTCACGATCCGTCGAAATCGGTCAAAAAAAGAAGAAAGAAGATGAAAAGAAATACTGGCGAAGATGTTACTGTACCACTGAATCAATCATAAAGTGTTATATTATTTATACGTTTGCTCTAGGAATTTGTAGCTCGACTAAGTGCAAATCATTATATATAAAATGTTTTATTTCATGCAACATGTGTTAACGAAAATCCATATAGCGGTTGGTAAGTTCACTAAGTTTACAACTTTTTATGATATATATGATATAGCTCCACTAAGCCAAACGGGCGCATAATAAAACAGTGTTGAGTTTATTGTTTGTATTTCTTAAGTGAAAAAAAAGCAGATTTTTTCGAATTAATAACTGGCAAAACACAAGCGAATTATTTCATATTATTTATTAATCTTTACAAAATCTTTAATACTGAAAATTAAAGATACGCCCTTTTGGATTAGGGAGGCAGGGAATAGGTCTTAATCAGTTATATTCCTTTTTTTATAATACAACTTGGCTAACAAGTGCAATGTAGTAATTTATTGTTATTATTGTTATTGCGATGCGAATGAGAGCTCGTCGAAAAGAGATCGTACATTGTGATGATACATCACTTAGCACAGCGATAATTTGATCGTTCGATCGCTCGTTCATTCTATTCTTACTACTATTGCAGGCAACGGTGCTCTTCTTCTCAGGCCTAAATTGCTTAAAATCTACGAGAGGTCAAAATTAATCAGCACTATTTTCGGTAATCAATGATATCTTGCGACTACTTCACTGTCGTTCACTTCATCTTCTGCTCGATAATTAAATCGCGACAAAACACCTACATACATACATATATATATATATATATATATATATATATATATATATATATACACACACACACACGTTGGAAAAAAAAGAAAAGAAGATAAATATTGAACCAAACCGCGGATAGATCTAACAAAGCAGAACTAACACAACGAACAAAAATGGATATAAACAACTTGGTAACAATCGATTCTCATTTTCTCTTATGAGCTAAAGACTATAATTGCCAAAACGCTAGCGACCTTCAAGTCAAACTACAATCACGGTAACTTCACTAATGATCAGTTCCCGCATACTCTATTCATGAACATGATTGGGATATGCGATAATGCCATTTCTTACGTTGTATTTTTATCACCACATCTTTAAGACCGAGAATATCAAGGGGTGATGTATATATGTGTGTGTATGTTACGATGTAATAAACACCTTATAATAATTAAGTATATTTATTAAGGGTAAAGCGCGTTTAAGACGAGATCTATAATACGGAACGGAATACTATTTACAATTTTATGGGCACTATAATATAAGAAAAACTCGAAGATTTGTAAATGTATATGTATTTATATATACAGTTACAAACGTAACCAAATCATCGAATTGCTTCTTTATTATATATTGCGTGCAAGAACAGAATTCAAACAGAATTTTGTCACGAATTATAGATCTAAAAAATTCGAGATTATTCGTGAAAGTAATTGGAAGCACATTTTTTCGCGCGAATATAGTTTAACCCTTAATTTGACACAACTTTTTTCAGGAAAATTTAAAATACATCGTATTTTTTTAGAATTTGTTTAAAGTTCTCTTGAATAAAACTCCTATTTTTTATAGAATGCATAGGCACGTCAAAATATCTGAGATCATTGTAACTTGATCGATTTCTCAGCAGTTTTATATGTAAATGGACAAATTGAGTTTCATGCGTTTAGTGTCAAATTAAAAGCTAACAAAGCCGAAAAAATCTTTCTTATCGGCAATTAAAATTGAGCGATACATGATAATAACATAGTAGAAAAGAAAACAATGATCTCACAAAAAGACACTAGTATAAAATTAAACGCGAATTAAAATAAAAGGAAAGTGATAGAAAAAAATCAGTTTTTGGAATCTAATGCGAATTCGCTGTTTAATCGCGTGTATCGAATGTTATCGAGGGTTAACAGATTCACCGATCTATCATCAATGATCACTTATCGCCGTTGCGTTGTTGCGATGAATGTATTCGAGCTCTCGGTGAAGTTACGTTGTTATGCATATGATTAAAGAATCACATATTGCTCTTTGATTTTGCGACGAGGAGTTTTTCAATGATCTTGTCGCTAACTATGCTTGCATTGAATAAATTTCCGAACGACATGGCACTCTATTTCGTTATATACATCTGGTATAACAAACGAATGTGCGTTTTGCGTGCTCAGCTGAAGTCATTGTTTGAGAATTCGACCTCGGCGAATATATTTCCCTTCTTCGTAAACATGCCATCGACAACAAACGTCGTAACTTTGCTTCTTGTAGCAATCTCGTTCTCATAGCTTGACAGACTAAACGTTCTATAAGATCGATTTATACACAGTATCGATGACATTTATTCTTTCAGCGTCGTAATCTTCTTTATATGACAGTGTGGGAAAACAGTAAAACGAAAAATATGATATAACGTCTAACATGTTCGAACATGTCCATTTATGTGTATCAAAGAAAAGTCACAACACTGATTGGGTCACTGATATAGGTGTATGAATCGATCTTTAAACAGCACTAAAACAGTAACAAACGTATAATCAAGTGTACGACGATCCTCGATTCCGCTCGAAGTTATCGTTGTCGTCGTAAGTCTTCGGGATGAAAACGCTGCGCGCACGCACGGCACATCGGAGAAGGACTAGGGCTTAGAAAAAAGAGAAAGGAAAAACTACTAGTATTCGTTCGTTGTTCACGATGGAGCAAAAGGCTCAGCTTTCTGCAGCAACGACCGGCTCCAATGTCGCTGCTTCGTCAGATTCCAGCTTCTTTCCATCTTCGTTTGTTTCCACCTTCGGCTCAATCTTTCTCTCCGTAACATCATTCAATGTCTTTATCTCCTTATCATCCTTCTTGCAACTGTCTTCAATTGTCTTGTTGATAGCTTCGCTACTGCTACCGCCGCCGCCATCCGCAAAGGGCGATTGTTCTTTCTGCCGTTTCTCGATCTCCGCTTTAAAGTTGTCAATGTCTTGTTGGCTGATCTGCACGAAGAGGATGCCGTTGATGACATTAAGCATATCCAACACAGAACCCATACTTGGTGGTTGCACTTGGATCGGCGGCAAGCTCACGCTCGACTTGCCCGTATAGATCTCGTTCATCTTTTTTTGCAGTACAACCGCTTGCTGCGTCAGGTGACGAAGACAGTCACTACTCTCTTTTGTCTTTTCATGTTCCTCACCCAGTTGCTGCTTGTAGATCGCGTATGTCTCCTTCTCATTATTCAACGCCGCACGGAAATCACCCATGCAAGACTGCGTACGCGCAACCAAATGATATGACATCGCTACTTTCAGCGAACGCGCGCCATGGTAACGTAGATTTAGTGTCAACGCGTGTTCCAGGAATCGTAAGGATAAGTCGTATTCGCCGACAGCATGCAGAATTAGCGAAATATTGCTCTGAAAGCACAAGAAGACAACGTTATTGTTTGCGATTTATGAGTTGGAATTTTAGGACAATTTGTAAGACGCCGAAATCAGTTATTACTCATGTGTTGTCTACCAATTGTAAGTTACGGATTATTGTATTATACTTGTATTGTATTATACTTACGGATTATTGTATTATACTTGTATTGTATTATACTTACGTCAAGCAAGGCTACTTCCGGATGATCTTCGCCGCATACTAAGAGAGCCAGATAACGCGCTCTATATAATAATCTTAACGATACGGATACCTGACCGTTGGCGAATGAATATAGGGCGAGATGTATCTATAAATGGAGAGACAAAAGAGAAAACATAAGTTTTGCTTTTAAATTACACATTATACTGTTCATTTTATATAGTAAAATATATAACTTACGTATTCCGTAATGGTGTACGGGTGATCGATGCCATTGACTCTCTCTGACATAAGAACAGCTTTCTGTTGAGTGGCGAGCGCCTCCGCGTGATCGCCCATTATATAATTCAGACGTGCCAGCATTCTCAGACACTGTGCAATCTCTGGATGCATAGCACCATACACATTATTCAAAAGATTCAGTGCTTCACTGATCAACTCGTATCCATCCTTTAGGTATCCTTGCTGAATCTTATTCTGACCAGTAGTGTAAAAGTTATATGCGTCGCTGGCCTGAAAGAACCCGAGTGAGGTTAACATTTCCAAACTCGAAAATCCAATTTTAAGTTAAACTTCTAAGAGTTTTAAGTATTAGTCTCATTTTTAGCAAGTAACAACTCTAATCAAATAAAATTATTAAAAAGAAATACAGATACTTTAAATATATCACAGGGTTTTACCAGATATTTCAGGCTGCTCTGAAATTAACTCCAATTTCTTTTCTAAACAACAACCATCATGACTCACCCTAGGATTGATATGCTTGACGACGGGGAAGATGTTCAGTATATCCTCTTCGAAGAATGTCACCCGGTTTTTATTTTCAAAGTTATATTCACGTAACAATATCTGAATACCAGTCTTAATGCAGAAGCCGCGTAATAACGAGATCTTCTGTAAATGGAAGTGCTCTATCGTAGCGTCCAATGATTCCGGACTCGGCGTTTCCCAATCGTAGTAAGCCTTTAGATCGCTCTTTATTTGCTGCCATAGTGATTTAGGTGTTAAAGACGCCCATTCAACCTCGGACTGCTGTGGTCCATTGTTCCTGCCTTTACGTTTGTTGCGACGTTTAGCAGCCTTGCTTTGAAGCTGAAATAAAATCACTTAATTTAGTAATTAACAACGCATTAACCTACGTCAATGTAATTTGACTAATGTGATACCTCTTCCAAATTTTGTTGCGGATGTATAATCTGGGCTGAGGACAGCAAACAGTTCAGAAAATGACTAACAGCTGCCGATAGACTCATCAGTTCTGTTCCCTGTAAAATAACACGTTTACAGATGCGTTTCGCAACGTTTTACGCATACATATGTACATACATACATGCGTTTTACAACATATTTCGAAAATTTTGCTATCTTACCTTTCTATTCTTAAATATTAATACCTGCATATAAGAGGTGAAAATGTGCTTAGCCGATCGAAGAATCAGTTCCGAAACAGCAATGTGATTAAGATACTGCAACTGCGGTACCGCGGCTAGCATAGCTGCTAATTTGCCGAGATACCGGACGTTAATGCCTCTACCATGAAGAGCTTCTACTAACGTACCGCCGTCCATCGATGCCGCCGTGTGATCCAAGCATTCTCGAATCTAAAACAAAGACACGATTACAGATTAAAACTAACATTAAAATTGATAAGAAGATATAATTGAATTTATTTTAATAATTAAAACAGTTAAAGAGTCAACAACTTGATTTTTAACTAAAAATTTCAGAGAAATTATGTGCTAAATATAATTCTCTAATATATAACTGAAAAAAAATAACTACATGATTTAATTAGAATTTTATAACCAACTTACGAACGTTGGCAGCTGCACTGTAAGCAGAAAATCGGCAGCATCCTTTACTAATTGCTTTTGTTTCTTCAGATCAGCGCCATTAGGATCAGGATGCTTGACACCAGGCGAATACACATCTGGATTGAATCGTACATCGAATTCGGCCTCTCGCAAACTGCCTACCGCTGCTGCAGCTTTTCGTACGACTTCTTTCGTACTTTCTTCCACTGTTATTAACAAGTGTTTATAATAAAAACAGTTTTTCGTTGGAACAACTTGTATTTTGTAATCAAGTTATAAAGTTTGCAGTCTCAAACATTCTCCTTTTTGCATACATATTCTATTTTTTACTCCTCCATTAAATACTAAACTTGTTAACGTTTATACCATAATTTATACTAAAATTCGCGCGCGAATGCGCTCCATTTTATACAAACATATATATATTTGAAAAATGTTATGATACGTACGTTCCTGTTTTTCACCGCCCGTGATCGAATCAGTAATGCTCTCGACAATCTTCTTAGCTTCGTCGGCTTCTATCAATGATTGAGTACAATCCTCTTTGTTACTGTCAACTGTTGCTACAGTAGTGGCTGAATCTTCCTTCTTACTTTCCTAACATCAAAATTACGTCTAATTAATAATTGTATTATATTTTAAAAACTTTGTCTTAAATTATATTTCATATTTTGTAAAGAAATGAGTAACAATATCCGAAAGAAAAAAGTAACAATATAAAAATATAACGTTAAAATGAAAAATATATTTTAAAACTATCCGTTTACCTTTGCAGTTGTTTCCTTTTCCTTCTGAGACCTTCTGGCTGACGTAAGCTGTTGCAGATGAACAGCCGCGTGCTTAATGAACTGAACGTATCGCGCTTCGACGAACGAGTCTATCAATTCTTGACGAAGACAGGCCAATCTGTGCTTGTGCTCAACGGGGAATCCAAGGGCTCGCGCTTCCTTGCTCAGCTCTACACCTTCCACTGCACGAGAGAAATGTTTCTTTGAATAAGAAAAACAAATATGTGATACATCTTAAAATATTTGTGTTTGGACTCACGTTTAAGGAAATTCACGTCTGGTGGGAAGGTCCTCAATAGATCCAACACGTAATGCCGCGAATCATTGCCGATTATTCCCTTACATTCCACACTGCTACAAAGTTCTACTTCTTCACCAGCGTCGTTAATTACCTTGTGCGGGAGGATCTTCAACTGCTGCCCGGCTTTATTCAGCTAAATGCACAAAACAATATAATATAACATGATACAACTTTGGCTGTACAATTTTCATATTATTTATTTACCAATTCAAGATATTTAGGATGTGTGAGTACAGTCTTTCCAAAGTCGATCGATCCATACACTACAGACTGCTCTTGCTCGCGCTCTAATATACCAGGTATAATAGATTGGGCAGTAACGCGGTAGCCTCTACGGAGACAATTAGTGAGAATTAAGTTGTCATTTAATAATTATATCGACAATTATTAGCAACATAAAAAATGTGTGTCAACACACCTGTAATCGATGACGACAGTGCCGAGAGTATAAAGACCTGGTAAATCCACAACTGCATAGACACGAACACCCTGTAAATCATTGCGAGGCGCAACAAAAGCCGCTGCGTCGCCACCTAATTCCTTGTAATGATCCCGCACGTCGAAGCCGAGTGAAAAGAAGATGTTATTCCAAATAAACATCTGCATCTTAGCCTCCTCGCCAGGATTGATCGCCATCACGTTGCCGTCGATCACAGCCATTGCTCCGCGAGTTGCAGCAGCTACAAAGTCGCTGTGGACCTGAACAATTTAAAATAACAGTTTAATATATTAGTATTTAATTATCAAAGATCAAAGAATTATTAATTGTTATAATTTTGTTATTTAAAATTACGAATAGTCAGCATGATTTAATAACATAAATACTTAATAGTATTTATAAAATTGTTTTATTTTTCTCTTGTTTTAAAAAAATTGTTTTAAAAAACGCACCTTGAAAATGGCACGCTCTCGCAATAATCTCTCGGGAAGATTTTTACGTGGTAGTTCTCTCGTGGTCTGCAACTCCTCGTTCCAATCGCGAGTTTGTCCTGGGATGTGTTCTTCATATCCCAATTTTGAGGAGAATGCTAAAGTAAATGGACAAAAATAGATTAAATCGGACTTATACTATCTTATTTGTTTTTTTATAATTTTTAAATATCACTAACTTATTGGCACTTTCCAGCGACTAAAATTAAGATACACTTCATATTTTACTTCTATAATAAGAAGCAATCAAGCGAGAGAGATAAACCCAGATTTTACGAGAACGTACTGTCTTCCGCGCGAATGGCATCGATAGTGTGCTCGATTTGCGGCGCGCTCCAAGCGTAAAGCTGGTAAGGCGTGGCAACTCGTTCGAAAGGATGCCTCTGAGTTCTACGTCGCTGCATAGCGGCGAATCCTCGCTTGAACGCTGGACTCAATTGATTGAGCAGCTCGATAAGACTATGACACAGGTGACTCGGCGTTGCCGGCTTTGGATTAAACACTTCCTTGGTAGATTGATTGACGAAAAAACCTCTAGCACATGCAGTTAAGTAATACTGTTTGTCTTCCAAAGTGACCACATGCAGATATATCAAATCGCCGTGAAGCTTTCTATGACCGGGCGGTGGATTCCATCCTGATGTCGTTAGAACCTAGAAAAACGAGAAGATAAAGCTTAGAAATTACTCTATTTAAAAAAAAAATTGAATATCTGGCCTTATGAAAAACAGTATTACTTCACCCTCATAGAACATCGATTTGTTATTCTTATGATAGCAAAATAAGAAAGATATATTAACTTTATTATATTAACTAACTAACTTTTAAACATGGCGGACATTTCTGCTCCTTCGCCTGTGGCTGCAACGGTAACAGCGGCCGGTCCTTGCCACCAGGTGTAATGTAATCCGGTGGCGTGCAATCAACAGAGTCCGCACGGGTCTTCTTTTTCTCCAAAATATCACCGTTCGTGACTATGTTGAGAAATGACAGACTGCTGCACTCGACGCCGTTATAAGCGTCCGCTGGATCTACGGACTTGAGTAAGTCACGCACGTGTCGCACGTGTATGCGCGCCTCTCGCATCGTATACGGTTCTTCCACTACTTTAATGATTGAACCATCCTTTAGGCCCTCGATGTTCTTCAGCTCGGCGAAATTGTCCAGCGTGTTACCGTCCATTTGCAACGAGAAGCACGTACGATGGCACGTGTCTTCACGATCCATGAGTAATTGATGAATCTCCTGAGAAACAAAGCAAAAATTTTGGTCTATAAAATTAAGATAAAAATTTGGTCATTAGACCAAACTATACTATGACTTAATGTTATCAACATTATTATAAGATGCAAAAACACACGCGAATTCTTCATTGTTAAAAGACCAACGATCACCTGCACGAGTTCCATGCTCGACACCTGAATGTCGAAAGGCTCGGAACCAGGGCTAACGATCTTGACGGTAAAACCCATGTCCTGAATGAAGACGACCTCCTGTTCATTCGTGGCATCTTTTTCCTTGTCGGTATCTATTTCCTTCTCATTCTTGTCGCTATTCTTATTGTCCTTGTCCTTCTCCTTCTCACACTCCTTGGTTGCCTCGACTTCTCCTTTTTCGACGACGTTCTCCGCAGCTGTGCTTGTGCTACCGCTTTCTGCTACCTCTTTTTTTACTTCTGCAAATAGCAATTGTTATTATTTAATACCGATACTCATATAAATAAAGCGATAAAGCAATAATGTATCATTTATGAAATACTCCAGCGATATAATTATTATCGCCGGAATGATACAGATCATTTATTTCGTTGCATCTCGTCAATGTGCAATTATTGCAACTTGATCTAAAAAGATATGAGCAGGAGCATTAAACCGAGGATAAATCATAGAACAATTCGGGTAATCGTTTGTGTGAACTCGCTCTCGCCCTGACACTGAAAGGGGGGTTGCAACGCACACTCCGAAAAGATATAAATACATCGGGGATTCGAGCTTGGTGTTGTTATAGATGCACTTCTCGACGCACTCTCCAGTCACTCGTCGCATTCACTGACGCACTTATAAATAAAGTGACAAAGTAAATAGTACGCATCGAAATGCCGTGCCATTTATATCTAGCCTGTATTTGCGATATGCATTGATTTCGCAGTGGCCAACGATCTGTGTCGAGATATTTGCTCGATCAGTAGCAATCACCAGTCATTCGATACCATGATTCACGGTACAATATTTAATACATTCAGTTCAAATTCTAGTCAGTCTCAGTCGTGTACGCTTCGATTTTTAAAACATTCGAAATTAATTTTCCACCTCGATAAGCCATGCAAATAAATTTTGCGGATATCTACGACCTCGATCATAGATACGATAGTACATCTGATAAGAGAAACATTTCATACAAGCTTATTCTAAGGAAAAAGATTTTAGAAATACACATGCCGAACATAAAAAAAAGTCTGAAAAAGCTCGATAAACTTAAAATATATCTTTAAGGGCCGGTTTTTCAATAGCAGTTTAAACTCTTGAATTCAAGTTTAAATTCTATTTTAACAATGCGTTTGTTTTGTTTAAACAGAGTTTAAGTTGAAATCTAAGTTTAAACTATTGAAAAACCCTAAAACTCCTGAATACACATATACTTGTCGCGGAACTGTGGATTCATGACATCAGAAGCGAGAAAACGCATGTCCAAAATTCTTGCGTGTAATTTTCGTGACAAGATCATGAGGAAAAGTAGGTTAAAAAGAAGAGTCGCATATCACGTTAATTTTACGGCTATTTATTGACCGTCAAAGGAAAAAGATAATTTTCGGTGCTTTTTACAAGTATGCTCAAGCGATCTGAAGAGTTCTTTCACACAACCATTATTTCATCTGGAAATGAAATGCAGGAATTTTCATTTCTCACTTCTGATGTCACAATCTAACATGATCGCGACGGAGTGCCCAGAAGCTTTGATAAGTAAATAACAAAAACTTACACGTGGTCCGCTTCAGTTGATTTGATTCGTGGCATGTATATACCACGAAGTTGTCCGCTTGTTTTTCGCATTTTTCTGATTTTCTTGATAGCACTACCTTCTTATCATCATGTTATCGCTATTGTATTACGCCATTTCTATGAGCGAACGTAAAGTATAGTAATACAGTGACACGCATTATAATACGTATGAGTCTAGATAAGGTATATGACTACATGAAGCGCAGAAAAGGAATCTATTTCGAAATATCGGCTTACGGAGTACTAAGTTTCGAAACGTGAGAGCTTGTTAAAATTACACACCAGCTACGCAACAGGTGATAAGGACATTTGCGGCTCGCTCGTAACGGCTTGCAAGAAGAGTGGAACAAAGTAGGATTACGCGGTTTATCGGCTAGAAGGACGCGTCCTCGTTGGGTTCTACAATAATACGCGGTATTCTTCACCAGATCTGTCATCAACATCCGTCGCAGTGTGGATGAATGAACAGGTCACCATCGTTTCATTCACGCACGATGATACGAAAGCATGCGCGCCCAACCGCTTATAATATCATTCATAAATCACCGCCCACGCCACTCTGATGCCTATCGCGACGTTGATGAGCGGTTCGCCGCGCTTTTCTCCTGTCGCCATTAAATCGCCGCTTAATTTAATCAAGGGTACGTTGCCCATTACGGAATCGCAACCAGGCGTCATTATCATCCATTGACCTTTTCGCACTGTTAGAATGAGAAAACGATCGATTACATCTATCTGCAAAAGGTCATACTTGCTTGAGTGAATTTTGGCTTCTCCTTCTTGTTGACCTAATAAATAGTCTGTGCGGAGTCTGTGTTGCCGCAATGGGTGTAAACAATAAAAAAAGAAAAAGTTTCGAGTGTTTATACAATGTTCTCGGAATTTTGCGAAGCGCGCGGAATCTCACTTAAAATGAGTGAAAAGTGGCAGAATTGTTGTATTCAAAGCGATAGTGGAAATATCGTTTCCTTCGTTTCATTCGAAATCGCAAAAGCAAATGTTCCATTCAAACTTGGAGTGAATTCTGCATCTGATATCTGAATGTTTCAATCGATTAGAGTATCTACCTGTGACATTGGAGTATGTCAGATTTACTCTTCAATTTCGAGTGGAAATATTCACTCGACGACTCAGAGCGCGGAAAACTCACTCTATCCGAGTGAAAAGTCAAACTCGAGTGACTTGGTGATTACTTATCTATTTTCCGAAATGAAATTTGACTCCAAAAAATTTGGAGAGCATCGCACGCAGTTTGAGCGTTTCTCGGACGTCGTGCTTTCGGAACTTTGTAATACTTTTCCAATTAACGTTCTCTGTTTGTGAAACAAGAAAATTCACATCGCGCAATTAGAAAACTCGAACCTGAATGTAAGCTCAAAGGTAGGTAGACTCGATCTCTCTATCTAGTGTTTACAGCTAAATATAGAGCCCAGCAGGAGATAATGTCACGCAAGTACTAATGCGTGTGAGGTACGTGTAAGTTTCACTAGCGTTGAAGATCGATTTACACTCTCGGTCTGGAAGAGGACGAAAGTACGAGCAGCTGCGTCAGCTTAACGATTAAGTATAGCCAAGGGATGTTGATCGTTCGCGGCGTATCGTGCGTTATAATAACGACGTCGATAACCCTCGGTTATCAATATATACTTCTTTCCGATTCTGCCCCACTATTGTTCCCACAGGCGGAAACACGCTTAGAACGAGACGACCATCCTCTCCTCCTGCTTTCATCCTCTATCTTTACTACCGGTTGTTAATCTTTTTATTTACCGACGTTATATTCGACGCTTCCCTCGATCGGGATAAACAAATACAAATGTTAAACTTTGATACTTAACGTCGCGGTATAATGCCGATATTATGATGCAAATTGCCTCGGTTGCTAAGCGTTCTTAATGAGCGACGAATGCATCGAGAATGCGTTCGCTCTTTCCAGCAAGGCAAATTTATTCCCCTCGCCTTAGATCGCCTCGGTTGAAACGACTGATTCCTAGGCACTGGGGCGTAATTTACATGACTATCGTCGAACTGTATTAGTTTTCAAGTAGTAAGATAAATACTAATTCATAGTATCTAACTCTAGACAGGCTTATTGTTTTGGTTTTCAAATAAGAATATTTAAACTTTCAACATGGAATTTATGTATATACTCAATTCTTGTATGTATATTTATGTTGAAGGTTTAAATATTTGTATTTAAAGACCAAAACAAAAAGAATGTCCAGGCCAAAAGAATTAAAGGCAATGAAAGAGCCAAACGCCAAATATTGGGGTAGAAGCAAACAATTTTTTTAATTGAGAGAGAGAGAGAGAATACTAAGAAACTACAATAAAACAATACTCAATTAAAAAATATATTGACAAACGTTTCGGTCCTCAGTTTGGATCCTCTTTATTTTTTAATTGAGTATTGTTTCATTGTTGTTTTTTAGTATTCAATTAAAAAAATTTGTTTGCTTCCGCCCTAACATTTGGTTCTTTCATTGCCTTTAATTCTTTTGGATTGTATATCACAAGAGTCTTTATTGCTAAGAATGTCCAGGATTAGGTATGTGTCCGGGCATTGATACTTAAGGCGAAGGAATTTATCGAGATAATCGTAAAGTACTAAATGTTTCTTTTTTTCATATGCGCAGTATCGTTTATTATGTCAAGTTTATCGTAGATACTGAAGTTATTGTAGATACATGTTCATCTTAAGATACTGAAGTTATTATAGATACATGTTTATTTTAAGATATAGGCTTAAGCCCTTTTAAGATCCTTGCAGAATGTCAGGCAATAGGAACAGGGAATAGGAATTCGGATTGGTCAATTATTTCTATTCCCTGTTCCTATTGGCTAATACCTATTCCTGTTGCCTGTAGCAATAGTGCAGTTGCCTGGCATTGTGCAAGGGCTCTTATTCTAAAGAACTTTGATGTCCACATTATACGAATGTACGCCCTAAATATCAATGTTGCGTCAATTCTGAAGGATCCACATTACGCTCTATCGATGTTTTTCATCATGAGCGCCCAACTGGAGATGCATTACGTAAACGCACTGTTGTGCAGCACATGTGCGTTCGCGGTGCACACCGCCGGCGCGCCTCCGTGTGCGGCGCGTGCGACGATCTATAGATCATTATTACTAAGAGGAGCGACTGTTTTCTCAACGAGCGCACGAAGGAAGAATTTGCCGTTCCTATTAGGATTCCTAGTAGGGTGCTTGACCGCTGCGAGACCGCCGACTTACGTCAGCCCATACATGCTCTTCTTTGTGCTGTTAATCGTTCTAATCGCGAGCTTCTCTTGTCGAACGAGACCCTCGATATCTTCGCTCTCCCGGAGCAATCGGCCTTCTCATCAAACCCTTGGAAATTGTTAGTCAAAGATCTTTTATTAGATCTAGACAAGATCTAGACAACCGTTACAATCTGCATTATTCATCAAACGGGCTACGAGAGTCGAAGGGTCAAATGCCAAGGCTATGTTTCGTTCTGTGATTTTAGTGTCGCTTCTTATCTGCCGACGAGCGTCTTTCGAGAATAGCTTGAAATGGACTACTTGGTCTACTCGATACGTCACCAGGCATTCCGACGAACACTCGCGCGTGAGCGCATATATTCGCTCGCGTACAGAGTGCAATTTTGCATGCAGCTGTAAAATTCGTCTGCTAGGACAGCTTCTGCTCCTTTACGCGACGCGTCTTCTGCTGGCCCTCCCGCCACCGCCTCTCCTCGCGATATGGCGGCTCTCACATGACCCCGTGTGCGTCGAGATTCGCGCAATTCTTCGCGGGGTTACATAACGTGCTTCGCCGCACTCACCGTCTCGCTCCCACTCGCACGTTCCCTCACGCGCTCTCGCTCACTCGCTCGATCGAGGCCGGCTCCGCGTTCGGCCGCACGGCAAATTGAACGGACGAGCAAAGTTGCCTGGACGAGCCAAGACAGCTACGGCGAGATGCGACGTGACGACCATAACGACGTCGTGGCCGTTGTCGTCGAGGGATTACATAACGTGAACACGTTAGAGCGCGACGCTCTCTTCGATTAACCTTAAAAAAGTACAGTATCGCAAGCGAGTGTACGGAGTCAGAGTACTCACCGGTCGCCTCATTGGTAGTTTCGTGTTCTTGATCGCTGTTTAGCAGAGGAATCTTCGCATTGTCTCCGCCGGTCTCGGATGTCTCGATCTGTGCACCTAGTGCCATTTCCAAGTAGACAACAAGGACGATAACGACGACGACGATGATGAAAAAGCAGAAGACACAGGCAACGACAATGTACAGAATATATCTCTTCTCTCTTCCCCTCGGTCACCTCTTTTCACACGAAATTCCTTCTCGCAGTTTCTTCAACCCGCTTCAACGGACACACGATCGCACGTTCTTTCGAATCGTCAGTGATCGGAGGAGAGCGCCGACGTTCAACTTACTTTTTCACAGGACGATACACTGCACTGCTCGGCGCGCGCGGTCGGTCTCGCGGTCAGCACGTGCGTTTCGAACGAGGAACAAGACCTGTGGCGACAACTATGATTGGACTAGTAAGGCAATCGCGATTGGCTCACCGAACGGCCATGATTGGCTCATTGTGGCGAGTTCGCGAGGTCACGATTGGTTTGTTATCATTAGTTAGCGGTTGACTGTTCTATAATGCGTTATGCATTACACATCGCATCACAGGATCCCTATTCTTAAAATTTTTGCGTATATGTAATTTTCATTGCGCAACTATTTTATGGTATGATTAAATATGCACAGTAAAACTTACGTGTACGCAACCATTTCAAGAATAGGGGCCCAGATGTCTATATTAAACTAGATTGGGTGCTTCTAGTTGCGTATACTATGTTACACAAAACCAGTTTATTGATTGCATATTATCTTACAAGATACTTTAGATAATATGTGACCAATAAACTGGTTTTGTGTACGTGTGTGTCAAGTATGTTAAGGGACGTCTACATTGGAAGTAAATAGCAAGAAGTAGGAAGTAAGAGTAAGAAATTGACCAACCACAGTCAAATGTGACAAGAATAATTAACTATGATTGGTCAATTTTTTATTCTTACTTCCTACTTCTTACTGTTTACTTCCAATGTAGATGTCCCTTAATGCTTGCCGCGCGACGGAAGTTCGCGCGACAGCCAATCAATATGCTGCTTTCCGTAATAACCTTCTAGCTCTTACGAAAAAACAACGTATTGATTGGCTGTCGCACGGACTTCCGCCGCGCGGCAAACATTACCGCGTCCTGTGTGCAGGAGCCATTAAACGAAGATAGAATGATGAGCGTTGCCAGCGTGTAACGGAACGCGCCCCTAAAAGTAGGTAACGGTTGTGTCCGATAGAGTTTCCGGTGCATGCGAGAAAATGGCCGCTACCGCCACATATTTCACTACGTTTAGTCATAAAATTCTTTTGTTGAAAATGAGCAGAGCAAATAATGTCCAATACAATCTATTTTTTTGTTACAATTAATTTTTTTCATTTTTTGATGCAATAAGATGCTGGCATTTTTGGTTTTACGACAGTAATTTAATAGCCACGCTGACTCACTTGACGTTGTAAGTACTCACATAAATGACACGTCACACACACTATTTGCACTATTGCACTAGTGCAGTAGTGCAGCGAAAAAGAACAGATCCAGAGAAACCAATCAGAAATTCGATCGTATAATCGAATTTGCTACTCTCACGCTACGACGGAGTTCTCTACAATCAAGAACCGCGTCGCCAGTCGATACGAAGACCGGCAATCATTACGCGCCAACGCGATGCACCTCCGACGCGTCACAACAGATGGCGGGACGTGTCCCGTCAAAAACGGCCAACCGACAGTCGAGTCTCCGTGGGAAGCGGACGCACTAACGAGCGCTGGAAGACCGCCATGTTGCTGATGTCGCGTGCCCCCATCGAGGTAACGGCGCGAGATAGTGTGCTTTTCGCAGCTCCGTGACGTACGTGCTCGACGTGCGCGCATGTTTATCGTCACTCTCGGTGCCCCCTCGACCGCCCCTCGCGATAGAAGATAGTGTATCCGACCTGGCTGTCGTGTGCGCGTCTCCGGTGTGCCGCTGATGCTCCGTGTGCGTCTGACCCGGACGAGAAAGAGTGACCCGGAACGCGAGCGCTACACGAAAGCGTGCCAGCTATAATGCGTCCCGGAACGGCGGCCGCGCGTCGCCGTCGTCGTTGCCGCGAACGTCAAGAAGGAAAAAGCGTGGAGGCAGAGTGCAGAACGAGTCACGCCGTCGCTACGTCGACGATAATCCGACGCGACGTCGGCAGACGTGAATGAGAAAGAGGCGCCTCGCGTCTTCGTGCGCCAGCGGAGGCGCTGCGAGCACCGCTCTCACAGTGTCCTGATATCGCACGCGAGGTACGTATTCGCCGCGATACCGGGACGGCGTTTCATCGCGGTGCATACAACGTAATCTCCGATTTATTGCGCGCTCCTTCATCCCGTTCAGTCGACCTGCTCGTTTCCCCGGCGCTCACATCACTTTCCTGCAGCAGTCTCCGAACGGGTTACTGCCATTACGGTACCGCGCGCGCACGCACGCACACGTACGCCGCTTACTTCACGTCGCGGCCGGACACATACGGTATACG